TATCAACAAAGTGAGACCTTGTCTCAAAAAAATTAATTAATCAATTAATTAAGTTAATGAAATCATACTGAACCCGGGAGACCACAGGGGTGGGTGGGGCTGGGGTTGGAAGGGAACATAAAATACGGTCCAATGGACTTCGTTCCCGTCTCCTCCCCATCTGACCCTCTGGAGGAAGCACAGGGAAAACGCTTTGGGAATCTGTTAACGTCTTGTAAACAGAACAACTACAACTAATGGTTAATGCTGAGAGGTTACAGACTCTCAAAGTCTTTTTCCAGGTGACGGACAAGTGTGACGAGTGACTCAATGTGACAGAAAGAATGACAGGGACATGTTTGTGACTCCCATCTTGAGGAATCAGTAGGGGCCAGAGTCTTGTACTCTGAGTGTAGATGGTCTCTTGGCCACACCTGTGCCGACACCACCCAACTTTAGTGTTTGTGTTCCATCTTTCTTCTCTTGTTCCAACATCAATCCAAGTGATACTCTATGTAAACCATGCTGTGGCAAGAGATCAACGGACTATTAGTGATACCCTGCAGTGCACCTGCCGCAGCTCCCCTGGAGCTCACCTGTAGCTCACAGCAGAGAACCTGTACCTCACCTGAAGCAGCTCACCAGTAAGTCACCTGCAGCACCTCACCCATAACTCACGTGTAGCTCACCTGCAGCAGTTCACCAGCAGGTCACCTGTACCTCGCCTGCAGCAGCTCACTCATAGCTCACCGGTAGCCCACCTGCACCCTGGTTCCCACTGGGACACAATGGGAGTGTCTTGGGATCACCATAGCAAATGACTAAAAAAAAGGTGAAATAAAAAAAGGCTTATGTCCAAATAAGGTCCCATTCACCGGTTCTGGGAATAAGGATGTGGACAGAGCTTTTAGGAGAACCGCAGTTCCATCCACTACAATTGTATCCAGTTTCCTCTGAAGGCTCTAGGGGAGGATCCTTCCTGCCTCTCCCAGCTCCTAGGGGCTCCAGGCGTCCCTGGGCTTGTGGCCACATCACTCCAGTCTCTGCGTCCATCTCCCCATGGCCTTCTCTGTGTCTGTGTCTCCTCTTCTGTCTCTTACAGGGACACCTGCCATTGGATTTGGGACTCACTTACTCCAGAATGATCTCATCTCAAAATCCTTGACTTAGTTACATGTCTAAAGACCTTATAACTGAATAAGGTCCCATTCATGCACTCAGGGAGTTAGGATGTAGACATGACTTTTGGGGGAGACTATAGTTCAATCCAAAACAATTTTATTGGGTTTCTTGTAGGGCCTTAGGGGAGGATCCTTCCTGCCTCTCCCAGCTCCTGGGGGCTCCAGGCGTCCCTGGGCTTGTGGCCACATCACTCCAGTCTCTGCCTCTGTCTCCACGTGGCCTCCTCCTCTGTGTCTGTGTCTCCTCTTCTGTCTCTTAGAAGGACACCTGCCATTAGGTTTGGGACTCACCCTACTCCAGAATGATCTCATCTCAAAATCCTTGACTTAGTTCCATCTCTAAAGACCTTATGTCTGAATAAGTTTCCACTGACGCACTCAGGGAGTTAGTATATAGACATGGCTTTTGGGGGAGGCTATAGTTCAATCCAAAACAATTTTATTGGGTTTCTTGTAGGGCCTTAGGGGAGGATCCTTCCTGCCTCTCCCAGGTCCTGGGGGCTCCAGGCATCCCTGGGCTTGTGGCCACATCACTCCAGTCTCTGTGTCCATCTCCACGTGGCCTCCTCCTCTGTGTCTGTGTCTCCTCTTGTGTCTCTTACAAGGACACCTGTCATTGCATTTAGGGCCCACCCTAATCCAGGATCACCTCATCTCTGGATCTTTATAACAAGCACCTTATTTCCGAATAAAGTCCCATTCACAGGTTCTGGGAATTAGGATGTGGACAGAGCTTTTAGGAGAACCACAGTTCCATCCACTACAATTGTATTCACTTCCCTCTGGAGGCTCTAGGGGAGGATCCTTCCTGCCTCTCCCAGCTCCCGGGGGCTCCAGGCGTCCCTGGGCTTGTGGCCGCATCACTCCAGTCTCTGCGTCCATCTCCACGTGGCCTCCTCCTGTGTGTCTGTGTCTCCTCTTCTGTCTCTTACAAGGACACATGTCACTGGACTTAGGGTCCACCCCGATACTCTAGAATCATCTCCTCATCTCAAGGTCTTTCATCTCACCAGCAAAGCCTTTTGGCAAGAAAGAGGACTGTTCCAAGGGTCCCAGGTACCTCTGACGTCTGTTATTCAGATAACTGTGGCAGACCTCTGGGCTGGGGTGGGTGGTCCTACAAGCTGGGATTTGCACACGGGTCCTCTTCATTGTGAGCTGGGCTGAGTTTCCGGAAGGTTGGGGATGGTGTTGAGTGAGTGAGGTCATGCTTGAGATTTTTCTCTTCTTGCCTAAGCCACGTGTTGTTGGGGTCCACGTGTTTCCCAAACAAAGGAATGAACACACCAGACAACACAAGACAAGACAAACATGGCGGCCGCCCCGAATGGCGCGCTCTGCTTTATTTTATACAGTCGTTTGTGGAATGTTGCCAAGTCACAAGACACATTGTTTGCTTTCCTGACCTTTCCCTGACTTTCCTGGATTTTCAAGAGGTTTACACATAAACAAACGCCCCAGGGTCTGCTGATTTGCATGCTGGCTCCTTTGTCCTCCACTGTTTGCAGGGAAGGAACGCCCGCTTCGTTGCTAAGAGGGGGACTTATCGGGAACGTCTCGTTTGCGAGCACGTAGTCCATCTATAATGTTGGGGGCGAGGCTGATACGTGAACTAAAGACGCACAGTTGAGTCAGGAAAGCAGAGTCGTTTTCTGGACCGTCGCTTAATGAGTAGGACCCTCACGGGATCTCACTGGTTTTATTTGAGACTCATTAAAGAGAAGCAACAAACAGGCCTCAACCGATGGTCCTCAGCAGGAGTAACACGTCTCGCATATACAACAAAACGCTGATTGCTGCCTAGTAAGTATTTCAGATAATGCTATAGAAAAGAGAAGTCCGAATGGGCACGGTGGGCTCATGCCGGTCACCCCAGCACTCTGGGAGGAGGCCAAGGCAGGCAGATCACCTGAGGTTGGCAGTTCAAGACCAGCCTGACCCACATGGAGAACCCCGTCTCTACTAAAAATACAAAAATTAGCCGGGGTGGTGGCAGGTGCCTGTAGTCCCCGCTACTCGGGAGGCTGAGCAGGAGAATCGCTTGAACCCGGAGGCGGAAGGTTGTGTGAGCTGAGATCGACCACCGCACTCAGCCTGGGCAGAAAAGAGTGAAATCTGTGTAAGAAAGAAAGAGAGAGAGAGAGAGAGAAGAGGAGGAGGAAGGAAGGAAGGAAGGAGGAAGGAAGGAGGAAGGAAGGAAGAAGGAAGAGGAAGAAGGAAGGAAGGAAAAGGAAGAAGGAAGGAAGGAAGGGAAGAAAGGAAATAGAGAAGGAAGGAAGAAGGAAAGAAGGAAAGAAAGAAAGAAAGAAAAAGAAAGAAAGGAAGGAAGGAAGGAAGAAAGAAAGAAGAAAGAATGAAAGAAAGAAAAGGAAGAAGGAAGAAGAAAGAAAGGAGGAAGGAAGGAATAGGAAGGGGGAAGGAAGGAAGGAAGGAAATAGAGAGGAAGGAAGGAGGAAATAGAGAAGGAAGGAAGGAAAGAAGGAAAGAAAGAAAGGAGGGAGGAAGGAGAAGGAAGGAAAAAGAAGGAAGAAAAGAAAGAAAGAAAAGAAAAAGAAAAAGAAAGGAAAAGAACCGTGGACAGCCATGGTGGCTAGTACTTGTCATCCCAGCCCTTTGGGAGGCTGATGTGGGAAGATTGCTTGAGCTCAGGAATTTGAGCCCAGCCTGGGCAACATAGCAAGACCCACTTCTAAAGAAACACACAAAAATAGCCAGCCGCGGTGGCACGCTTCTTAGTCCTAGCTACTCAGGAGGCTGAGGTGGGAGGATTTCTGGAGGCCGGAGTGGGAGGCTTGCGGTGAACATGATCCAGCCAACTGTCCCGCAGCCGGATGATCCATAACAAAACTTGCCTCAAAAAAACGAAAAAACGAAAAAAAAACAACGAACCAACGAATAAACCACACACAAGAAAACAAACAAAAAGCCAACAGGAAGAAAAGAGAGCAGGCCTCCAGATATATATTCCTTGAAGAACCATTTTCAATAGAGGAGAACTTAAGCCGGCCGCAGTGGCTCACACCTGTCATCCCCAGCACTTGGGAGGCTGAAGCAGGTGGATCATGAGGTCAGGAGTTCGAGACCAGCCTGACCCACATGGAGAAACCCCGTCTCTACTAAAAATACAAAAATTAGCCGGGCGAGGTGGCAGGTGCCTGTAACCCAGCTACTCAGGAGGCTGAGGCAGGAGAATGGCTTGAACCCGGGAGGCTGACTTTGCAGTGAGCCAAGATCCTGCCACTGCACTCCAGCCTGGGCGGCAGAGCGAGACTCCTTCTCAAAAAATAAAATAAAATAAAATAGTCTCAGGAATGCAATGGGATATTGGATTCCTCTCATACCTTTTGTATGACACTTTGAGCGTCTGGGGCTCCACGCCTATTTTCTGGGGCTCTTAGAAGCTGCCGTCCTGGACATGGCACAGGCACAGATTTGTGTTTTAAACGCCAGGCGTTCGGACGTTGAGGGACGTGAGGCTGAAGGTCACCTTTGGGACCCCCTGACTTTAGGGTCCGGCCTTTCGAATCTTCCCAACAGTCTGTGTTGACTCCAGCGTCCCATGGACTTGGGTGGGCGAGAACCGTCTGCATCTGTCTGGAACCTTCACAGCTCCGCAGAATATCCTGTTTCTCCACACGGACGGAGAAATACGAGAGGCGTGTTCTGGGTTATTTGAGTCGTCACGGACAACCCCAGACTCATGTGTGCTAATGACCTCATTCATTATCCTCTGGGGCAGGTGCCCGGGCTGCTCTGAAAATCATTCTGTGAATTTCGTTTTTTTGGGTGGTGGTTGTGGTGGTGGCAACAGAATTCGTATCATGTAGGAAACCAGGATGGGTGGCTTTCAGGGTGTTGGCACCACGGGGCAGCCGCCGTTAGACTCCAGAGTGTTTTTGTCAGGCTAGAAAGAAATAGCCATGACCACTGGGCCATCGGTCTCAAGTTTCCCCGCCTAGCCTGGGCAGCCCTTAGTCTGCTTCCCGTTTCTCTACACATCTCCCTGCTCTGAGTATGTGTATATATGTGTGTGTCTGTATATATGTTTCCTTCCTTCCTTCCTTCCTTCCTTCCTTCCTTCCTTCCTTCCTTCTTCCTTCCTTCCTTCTTCCTTCTTCCTTCCTTCTTCCTTCCTTCCTTCTTTCCTTCTTCCTTCTTTCCTCCTTCCTTCCTTCCTTCCTTTCTTTCTTTCTTTCTTTCTTCCTTCCTTCCTTCCTTCCTTTCTTTATTTGTTTTCTTTCTTGCTTTCTTTCTCCACCTTCCTTCCTTTCTCTTTCGTTCTTTCTTTCTTCTTTATCCTTCCTTCTTTCTCTCCTTTTCCTTCCTTCCCCTTTTTTCTTTCTTTTTTATTTCCTTTCTTCCTTCCTTCCTTCCTTCCTTTCTTTATTTGTTTTCTTTCTTGCTTTCTTTCTCCACCTTCCTTCCTTTCTCTTTCGTTCTTTCTTTCTTCTTTATCCTTCCTTCTTTCTCTCCTTTTCCTTCCTTCCCCTTTTTTCTTTCTTTTTTATTTCCTTTCTTTCTTTCTCCTTCCTTCCTTTCTCTCTTTCTTTCTTTTTTACTTTCTTTCTTCTTTCTCCTTCCTTCCCTTCTTTTTCTTCCTTCCTTCCCCTTTTTTCTTTCCTTTCTTTCTTTTCTTTCTCCTTCTTTCCTTCCTCTTTCTTTCTTTCTTCTTCCTTCCTTCCTTTTTCTTTCTTTCTTTCTTTGTTTCTCCTTTCTTCTTTCCTTTCTCTTTCTTTCTTTTTTATTTTCTTTCTTCTTTCTTTCTTATTTCTCTTTCCTTCCCTTCTTTTTCTTCCCTCTTTCCTTCCTTTCTTCCTTCCTTCCTTCCCCTTTTTTCTTTCTTTCTTTCTTTCTTTCTTTCTCCCTTTTTTCTTTCTTTCCTTCTTTCTTTCTTTCTCTCTTTCTTTCTTTCTCTTTCTCCTTCCTTCCTTCTTCTTTCTTTCTTTTTCCTTCCTTCATCTTTCTTTCTTTCTTTCTTTCCTTCTTTCTTTCCTTCTTTCTCCTTCCTCCCTTCCTTCCTTCCTTCCTTCCTTCCTTCCTCCCTTCCTTCCTTCCTTCCTTCCTTCCTCCCTTCCTTCCTTCCTTCCTTCCTTCCTTTTGACAGAGTCTGGCTCTGTGGCCCAGGCTGGAGTGCGGTGGTGTGATCTCGGCTCACTGCAAGCTCTGCCTCCCGGGTTCACACCATTCTCCTGCCTCAGCCTCAAAAAAAATCACTTGACCTCGGACTCCCGGTCTCCAGGGCTGGGAGAGGCAGGAAGGACCTGGACTCCGCTGGAGTCTCCGGAGGGACACGGCCCTGAGACACCTGGATCTGGGACTCCTGGTCTGCAGGACTTGACAGCGATGAATTCCGAATTCCTGTGTCATTCACGGCACCGGAGCTCCTGGTGTGACTCAGGAATCTGAGAGACTGACCTCCGGGTTTGAGCCCATCAGGACGGCGGCTTCTCCGGCTGCGGATTTGTTGCCTTTTTCCATCTTCTCTGCGGCTGACACTCTTACGGGGACTCATGGTGCAGAGAACTTCGGTTGCCTCCCGGAGCTGCAGCCAAGCCTCAGCCCACGACCAACACAACACAGACCCAACGACCAACCAAAACATGCACATCGTGGTTGTGTCTCCAGGGAAGGGTCCTGCTGTGGGAGCGTTTTTATCCCGTAAGAAGAGCGTCTTTGACACAGCAGAACCACGGAAAAGTGTCTTTCGGCCGCCCCTGGAATGACCGGCCGGCCACGGTTTGGACACGTCTCATGCTTCTTACTGTTTTCCAATGTTTTTGGCCAGAATGGAATTCCAAGCTCTTTTTTTTTTTCTTCTTCTTCTCTCTGTCTCTCTCTTTCTTTCCCTAGTACTTTGTGTTCCTGAGTCTTACCATCCCATGAATTAAAGGGAAGTGGAATCTTGAGCTTTTTGACACATGGACACTCCTCAGGCCAGCAAGACCGTCCGTGTCTTTAAGGGGAGGTTGGGAACTCGGCCGTGAAGTCAGAGCCCACAGTTCTCCCTCGGTTTTTAACTCTGGCCCCGAGAAGATCTTCGACTTTGCTTGTTTTCCTGAAGAAACAGGAAGGTTTGCTTTGCCAAGAACGGATGGAATCGGAAAGCAGCACGTGGGATGTGCACGAGGGAGAGTACGCCGGATTTTCTTTGTGTGCAAAGGGGACGTGGGGGCCGCACACCCTGTTTCTTCTGTCCTCACGGAGATGCCACCAAACGGATTCTGGTCCCTGTGGCTACGACATTGACAGGTCAACGGCGGAATTTCTCCTCTCCCCTCCCGAAGTTTCAATTGAGAGAATGAATATAAGTGACACTAACCTCGCACTGCGTGCTGGACTGCACTTAGTATGGGTGATCAGTTAAAAAGGTTCACTGAATTGCCTACGAGGAGAAAATGAGCATTGAAATTGAAAATAAATAAACCACTGCACCTGCGTGTCTGGACCAAGCACTTAAGTAGGTGATCAATAAAGGTTCATTGAATGCATTTGAGACGATGAATGGAGGAATTAGATAGCTTAACCCACAACTTGTGTTGGCTGACCCAGCACATAGTAGGGTGATCAATAAAGGGGTTCATTGAACTTGCACAAGCGAATAATGAATGAAAAATAACCCGCACCTGCGTTGCTGACCAGGCACATAGTATGGTTGATCAATAAGGTCATTGAAATGCACAAACGATCATGAATTTGAATGGAAATAAACGCCGACCCTGCGTTGCTTGATGGCACTTAGGGTAGGTGATCAATTAAAAAGTCCCCCTGAAGCAGGAGAGAAGGAATTAAGGATATAACCTCCCACACCTGTGTTTGCTGACGCTGTGTGGACTGGCACTCACGTATGTTGAACAAAATAAAAGGGGGAAGTGAAGGGAGTACGTGAGGAGGGGATGGAGGCGATAAACGAGGAGGAGAGGAGGGAGAAAGAGAGGAGATAGGATGGAAGGAGGATGAGAGGAGGAAGGAAGAGGAAGGAAGGAGGAGAGAGGAGGGGAACGGGGAGGAGTAAGGGGGGAGGAGACATAGGAGGGAGAGGGTGGAGAAGTGGAGAGGAGAAGGAAGGAAGGAGAGGAGGAAGAGGAGGATGAGGAGGAGAGGAAGAGGGAGGATGACGGAGGAGGGGAGGGA